AGGGGGCGACTCCACTGGCTGCAGAAAGAAGTGTGACTGTGAACATGAAGATGCAACGTGGCAACGTCCTTGGAAGGGGGTGCCGGCGGTTATGTAGCTATAAATGTCTCATTCTAAGGTAATAAAAACATAATGGTTCATTATGTAAGATCTTTATACAGCACTGAAAACATAGTTATGGATCTTGTATTGCATTTCTGTCAATAGAGCCTCAGAAATATTACACACTGAACCTTTGATATCACAGGTAACGTGAATTACACATGCACCTTGCTAACCAAACTAGCTAGCCCCACCCTCTTGTCCAAATATGGTCACATTCTGTCTGAGAATTTGATTTATTGATTGTTGACAAGATGTAAAGAGAATTTAAACAAATATAACAAAATGTGCTACGGCAGCTTTAAACCTGTTCACACAGACGGTAAACAGGGTTTATTCTGGCACGTAGCGTCAGTGTGACAGAGGCGATCCTGCTGTCTCATGATGCCGCAGGACAGTTTGGATTAAACCATAAGCCAGTGTGTGAGTGTGCGCTGCTTAACGCACACACTCACACATTCCAGTTTTGCGTGTCGTTTCATTCATGCTGCCATACGACAGCTGCAAATTCTCAACACCATCAGGCCTCCAAATATCAAGATATCACAGTCTGACAGGATGCAGAGTCTGCACGCACACACACACACACACACACACACAGCCGGAGTGTGTGTGTGTGTGTGTGTGTGTGTGTGTTTTATGGACGCTGAGGTGGAACAACAGCTACCCCTGCTGACAGACAGGACTCACTGTGGGTGTCTTCAGCCTGCTGTACCCACAATGCCGCAGGGCCTGATGTCTGTGTGTGTCTGTGTGACTCAGCGTCATCCCGACAGGAGCATATTTCACACTTTGACTTGGATTTGTGGTGATCGCTGAGGAGAAACAGCAGCTGCTGCAGCAGCAAGGAGCTGCAAACACGTTTGATTTGAGATGCATTGATTATATATTTGATTTGAGTTATTGAGAAGGGACATTGTTGTCAACATTAAAAACAAATGTAAATGTACACGAGTTACCTGCAGGGTAGTTTTCATCAGCAGTCCTTTTGTCTGATGTTACTGAAATATATATTTATAATACATAAAAAACTGTTTAAACCTAAATATGTATTTTATAAATGTGTCTAAGATATGTTAAGGGCCAATAAACCCAAACATTTTTTCACTTATAGTGTAAATTTAATGTGCCATGATTTTAAGGTTGATTTTGGATTTTGGTAAAATTACCCTTTTATAGCCGTGGAATCATGGTGATGTTGAAAGTGCAGAGAAACACAGCAGCTGAAGGCCTGTGCTGAGTCTGGGCATCTGGGGGCAGCAGAATGAGCTGTAAAAACAACATGACTTGCAGAAGGAGGCAGCGCCTGAGGAACCACCAACCTGAATCTGATCCAACCAAAAAAATACCTCCCCCTCCCTTCAGGCCTCCCTCCAACGCAGGGTGCAAAATTAGCACCAGCCAAATGCTGGTAAAACATGCAAACGGCTGGTAGGATTACTTCACCCACCAGACAAAACAACAATGGTAATCTATTGAGTGGCCGGTACACTTTGAGCATTCAAGAAAGTTAATTTTGCTCCAAAGCCACTCCCCAAAACACATGCAGTGAGTGCACAGGCAGACAGGCAGGTAGGCCAGCCTTCATTTCATTCTTGTTACTACAGTCCTGCGACAGCCACAGATTTCTTTCATTTCAACAAAAAGAACAAAAAATGCTTCAGATAATAAAACAATAAAACAATAAAATGTCTACCGCAGCTTTAATAACTCTTTGGTATTTCTAACATGTTAGCAAACAGCTGCCGGCTTCCTCCTCCAGCAGCTACAGAGCAAAACGATGTTTGTTGTGTTAGAGTCACCTGATGAAGGAGAGTCCAGTGTTCTCTCTCTGTTAGCTCTGTGTTTGGTCTCCACCAGCTGAGTGAAACATCTGGCTCTTTAGCTGCTAAATGCTGCTCTATGTTCACCTGCTGCTCTCTGACTGAGTCTCTCTGCTGTTCGTGTACGTAAACAGATGCTGCTGGAAACCCCCACCTACTATTAAAATGCAGTCTGTATCCACTTAAGGAAGGAAAAACGCATGTTAATGCAAGTTGTGAATGTGTCGTGTGTGGATCTGCCTGAGCAGAGGTAGAAAAATTGATTCTCAGATGCATTGTCAAGCTGATGCTGACGATTCACAAATGTCAAAAATTGATTTTCTGAATGTTTTTGGCTGCTATGTAACTGAATTTACAGGAATTAATGAGAATTAGCTGCATGTCGTTACTGCCTACTTGGTTGAATCCTCACAAATACTTTGCTTTAAAAGTACCAAGTAGTCACACAGTAAGAAACAAAACATAATCGTTGTAGAATCGCATCCTAACCCTCTGAATCAAATCGTGTCCGTAGAGATTTCCACCCCAAGGAGGTAGTCTGGCTCGCTTTACGTTAGGATCTTGGGTAGGCTCGGTGTAAACACAATCTGTACAACATGCGGGCATCCACACACAACATAACATTAAAGCCTACAGATATTTGTTTTTAGCTAACACAAAATATAGGAATCAAGAAGGATGAAGGAGACGAGCCTCGAAAGACTGATTATACGTCTGTTCTGTCAAAGCACCAAAAGATTCACACACTTTGCAAGTAAGTACACAGTGTACTAACGGAATATATGAACTACAGAAGTGGAACTTCACAATATTAGTGTTAGTGGTAACTAAGCGTTAATAAGATATTAGATATGTCCACCTAAATAGATTTTTTTGTTGAGACGGTTCAGTGGTGTGCTTATATTTTTTATTATTATTTATCCTGTTAAGTGAAATACTTTTCCTAGATATGCTGCCTTCAAGCAGGCAGGGTCTAAATCCCTTCAAGCAGCTCAGAGCAAAATGTCCTTACTCAACAAAAATGTACTCTTCTCATTCTCAAGGTCTAAAACTCAAACTGGTCCTCACAAAGTTTGCACACACACTCTTAATTGGTGTGCTGCTGCCCTCAGGCGGCAGAAATCCATCAATCATTTTGGAACTGAACCATCATGCATTTGTAGAAAATAAAATAGAATACATTATTCAACAGTTAAAGTAATTTTTAAATTTTTGAAAAATTAAGAACACTTTACAAACTTTTTTGGGTCGCAAATAAATTTTAAAAAGGTGGTGGAGTTTTGGTGCTTTCAAACCAACCGCAAATTTTCTCAATGCGAGTACATTCACTGCAAGTGTTCACAAACAGCGTGAGAAGGCGATTTTAACGCGATAACGTGAATAAACACAATTTGCCATTACTACAACTGTATGAACCCAAAGTAAACATTTTGCAGTGATTAAATAGCAATAAACGGATTAAACTGATGCCGAAATAACTACAACATGATGCAGATTTGTTAAACATGTGAATTTATGCTTTGTCAGGTCTGTTAGCAGGACAGCAGGACAACAACTTCTAAAATGTTTCTTTTCTGAATGGAGTTTGGATCGATCAGGGCTATGGGTCACAGTAAAGTACAATGATAGCTGGAATAAAGTTACAGACACATGTTTTCTGACCTCATCAGGTAGTTCAACCTCCTTGCTTTCTTTTCTCCAAGTAATGTCCAGTTTTGTCCGTTTTTTCTATAAATATGAAGTCGGAGTCCGACAGAGCTAACAGCACTAACAACAACAGTGGAACCGGCTGTGCACAGGAGCTAGCTGCTGAGAAGCTCCAGTGAAGATAACGTTGTAATCCCAAAAACTAAAGTAAAAGCTAATTTAATAAAAGCAGTTAACGCCGAGCTCCTCCCGCGAGTAATTGGTGTAGTTGTCAGAGCAGAATCATTTATTTGTCCAAAGGTTGCAGCGCTGCTCCCAGTTCCTCTCCCCCAAGTTTGAGTTGAAAATATTCAACTCAGGCGAATTCCTTCGCGTTGCCATCGCTTTGCGCCGCCCGACAGGAAATTACGGCTCTATGCGTCTTTGCATTGACTTTGTATGTAAACTCACCGCCATGAACGCTCGCTTCGCTTTTGGTCTGAAAGCACCATTAAGCTTCATTGGGGGTCTGTTAGATTCATCATTTGTAAAAGTCCTGGCTACAGCTCTGGCTAGACCATTACCATTTAATTCAGTACATTTCATCTTTGTTAGTATTATCCATGTAAAAACTCTCCATATTGAATCATATGTCATTTGAAAGCTTGTTTTCTAGAGCACAATGTTAGCTAGTCCATATATCAGATATCTACAAGAGACGTGATAGTCATTTTTATGCTAAGTGTGTTTCTATAGTGTTGGCTTTTCCTCGACCTTGAAAGCAGTTGGATCATCATGACTTTACGCACAGTTTCTTATAACAATAAAGACATATACATATAACTGGAAAAACAGGGTCCATCACACATATGAGTGGTAGATTTTGAATAAATTCATGAGAAAACAATTGTTTGATAAACATGTGACTCTTAACAATGTGCTGGAAAAATGGATTTGTTTGATATGCAAACAAGCACATATTTAATGAGGAAATACCTTATTTCCATATTGAAAAAACATGTCTTTTAAAGCTTCCATTAATGTTTACTTTCAGCTCCTGAAGTTTCATTGTGTTTTGAGTAAAGGTGAAAAAAAAGCCTGTTTTTAATAATTATTTAACCATTAATCACCAAAGGTTTTGCCATACAGAATACCTTTTCTTGAATGGATGGACACCTAATATAAATAGTTTTAATACACATTAACAACATGCAGAACACTTGAATGAAAATAACTCCAGGCAGCAGGAACACAGCAGTCTCTATTTTAGGAAATAAAGGAAAATGTGTTATTCAGGGTCATATATTTCTACTACTTATTATTGTTGTTTTTAATAAATTAAGCGGTGTTATTTAATTTCTTCAAACGCTTTCCAGCTTCTTTATATTTATTTTCTTCACATTTCCAGTCAGGCATCCTACAGACGGCTACAAGCTGTCAACCGCCGGGGTCCTTCCAGGTCCTTCCTGCCCCGAGCCGCTCCGCCAGCTCCCTCACAAACACCGACCACCGGAGAAGAAACCCGTTCATTTACCCGTTAATCCGCCTCAAACCGACCGGGTCCCGGGAGCCATGATGGGCGGTAAGACCAGCGCGCTGGCCGCCGGGGTGTGCGGGGCTCTGCTCGTCGGTTACTGCATCTATTTCGACAGGAAAAGACGGAGTGACCCCAACTTCAAGAACCGACTGCGAGAACGTGAGTGCTGACCTCTTCTTCCTCACCTTCATCGGGCCTTGGAGCTCCCCGAACCCGGTCCGGTCCGGTCCGGTGTGGTTCGGTTCGCATCGGGTTTGGCTGCCGCTTTAAAAGCTGTCGCGGGATTAGCTTGTCTCAAAGGCTCTGTAGTCAGGCTCGTTCGGCTCTCACGCCGAACTCCATTCAATTATCAGCCGTTTTAAAGTCCTCAATAAATGATCATATAACGTTAACATACTTTACAGTGCATACTTAAGAACGTACACTAGTCCACAAGGTCACAAGGTTTAACTCGGCTTATAGTAACCTAGCAACACCAGTTACAGGAGAATGCCACGTTTTAGCTTTCATCTCAGCTCTTTCCTAATCTTTTAGCGTTAAGCCTAAAAACTATTGATCTGATCTGAGTTTTATTAAAAGAATGAATGAAAATCGACACACTGCTGAAGTGGAAATGTCATTGCTGTTAGATGACATATGCCAAACTGAAGAGATACTCCTAAATATGGTTCAAGTACCTCACGTCGTTTTTTGGTATCCACCTTGTAGATATTAGCAAGGTCATGTTAAACTAATTTTTCAATGGAGTTCGGTCTGACTTTCTTAAATCTGACCCTGCTTCATCAACTGTGAGCAGGATGCATTGCTTTGTTAACCTGCAAGTTTTTGGTGTCAGTTTTGAACTCCAATACGTATTAAACACTTTCAGGGTGCTCTCACATAATTTTCCCTTAGCCTTCTAAGACAGAGTAGTGAATGTTCATTGATTGAATTAATTAATTCTCAGCATGGATGGCATGCCCCTTTTGAAGTATCACCTTTTCTAGCAGCTGCTGTCCACATCGAGTTTTATTGAATAAGTAATCGATAAACTGTTGAAGTGGAAATTTCATTGGAGTAAGATAAGGTATGACAAATTGAAGAGAATACTTATAAATATTGTTAAAATACTTCACGTCCTATTCTATCTGGTATTCACCTTGTAGATATTAGCAAGGTCATGTTAAACTGATGGGTTTTTCAATGGAGTTTGGTCTGACTGTTATTTTTCTTAAATCCTATTTATCCAGGATGGCTTTGCGAACTGCAGTCACACACATCGCCCTGATCACAACCCGAGCCCCGGTGTAAAATTATAGTTACTAAGTAAACTAAATTCTGATGTTAATACTTCTGCTAATCAGAATAATAATCCTTAACTTGGGTACTTCACCTTTGGAGGCTGCAGACCTGCACCACTCTTCCTGTTATTTAGGTTATTTGTTATTAGCTGGGCCTTCAGCCAAATGGAGATTATGGCGTTACTCAGGGAATGTGAAGGTTCAGCCTTTTTGGTCAGGACCTGCAAACTTCGGAACAAGTTATTATATTCAGTCAGTTTCTAAAAGGGTTAATAATTTTTAAAAGTAGGTTCCACTTATTGAGCTGTGTTTTCACTGTCAATCATTAAACCTTTCCAGTCACAGACAGCAGGTGGTTCTTTAACAGGAAGAGACTTTCGTCTTGGTGGCGATATTGTAACGCAGTATTATTAGACAAACAGAACCGGTGTAAATACAAAAATTTTTAGTTTGTAAAAGATGATTTCATTCAATAACCTCTTAACATTCCAATAGCCCGTGTAGAAAGGTTTAGCAAGTATTTTAATGGCCAGCAGGTGCTCTGAATGATCCCAGTCAAGCAGAAGAGTAGTGGAGAGTCACACAAACTAATGAGAAAAATAAATTAAAATAGCAGGAAATACATAGACTGCTACACCCTGTGTGAAAAACCTCATAAACAACTGGTTGGGCCGCCCTTGTGGCGGCAACTGCAATCAAGCATTGCCAATACCTGGCGCTTCCACATCGCTGTGGAGGAGTTTTGGCCCACTCTTCTCTACAGAATTTTAATTCAGCCATGCTGGAGGGTTTGAGCATGAACGGCCTGTTTAACTTTTTTTTTTTTTTTTGTGGACTTGCTGGTGCGTTTTGAATCATTGTCCTGCCAGACAGAACCCAAGTGCGCTTCAGCTTGAGGTCACCAACAGATGGCCGGACATTCTCCTTCAGGATTTCTTGGTAGACAGCAGGATTCATGGTTCCATTTACCACAGCAAGTCTTCCAGGTCCTGAAGCAGCCGTAGACCATCACGCTACCGCCACCATATTTTACTGTTGCTGTGACGTTCCTTTTCTGAAACGCTGTTACTTTTACACAAGATGTAATGAGACACACACCTTCCAAAAAGTTTTGTCTCGTCAGTCCACAAAATATTGTGCCAAAAGTCCTGTTTTGGTAAATGTGAGATGAGCCTTTAGTTATTTTTGCTCCGCAGTGGTTTTCTCCTTGGAACCATTTCTGCACTTCTTGTTGATGAGCACTGACCTTAACTGAGGAAAGTGAGGCCTGCAGTTCTTCAGATGATCTTCTGGATGAGTTGTTGATGCGCTCTTGGAATCATTTGAGTAAGTCTGCCTCTCCTGGGAAGGTTCACCTGTTCTCCATTTGTGGATAAAGGCTCTCCCCGTGGTTCGCTGGAGACCCAAAGCCTTAGAAATAGCTTTGTAACCCTTTCAGACTGACTGATGTCAACGACTTTGTTTCTCATCTGTTCTTGAATTCCTTTAGATTGTTGGATGATGTGTTGCTTTTTGAGATCTTTTCGCCTGCTTCACTTTTTCAGCCAGGTGATATTTAAGTGATTTCTGGCAGTAATCAGGCCTGGATATGGCTGGTGTGAAACTAAATCCAGCTTACCAAAAATGTTGGTTAATCATAGTTTGTGGTTTGGCAATTACTTTTTCACACAGACCCAGGTAGGGTTGGATAGCTTTTTACTGGACCAAACAATTAATTGATTAATCTAGAAAATAACCGACAGATTAATTTATAATGTAGATACTGGTTAGTTGCAGCCCTGCTGTATCTGCAGAGACACCATGGTACAGTAAGTTTAAAGGAAAAGTAAAATCCACAGCAGAAACAGGTTTGTAGATTTTCGATGTGTGCTGCAGCTGTTTCCTGCTGTAATTTACACTGTTTGTTTTTGTGTTTCTGTCGCAGGGAGGAGAAAGCAGAAGGCAGCCAAAGAGAGGGCTGGCATGGCAAAGGTGAGACCAGTCTCTGAACACTTCAGCGAAGCAATCACCTGTCAATCAATTCACAACAAATCAGTGTGCTGCACAGGGGTAGCGACGCAACTAAGGATTATTTTCGTAGCAGACTAATCTGTTAATTACATATTCAACTAGTCACAATTATGTTTGTGACCCCCTAACCCTAATTAAACCATTTAACTAATTAAATATCTTTCAAGTGAATTACTGATCTCCAACACACAGCCTAACAAGCTAACGTTAGCATTAAGTGAATATTCAGAATGAACACCAGGATCAAGCTGCTTTTTTCTAGCTTCTCATTGGATGGTGGCGTTTGATGGAGGTTTCTGAGATGAGCTGAGTGGCTCCTTGCTCCCAGCATGCAGCTGAAAAACCAGAGAGCAGACGTGTCAGATGTACTTCCTGTGACTAAATGTTGTGTCCTGCAGCTCCCGGACCTGAAGGACGCTGAGGCGGTGCAGAAGTTCTTCCTGGAGGAGATCCAACTGGGGGAGGAGCTGCTGGCTCAGGGTAACACCTCCACACAGTCTGATGTTCCAGGTCAGAGTCCTTACGCTGGTCTCTGTGGGGTCTCTAAGAGTCTTGTGTGTTTGGCTCCACAGGAGACTATGAGAAAGGTGTGGACCACCTGACCAACGCCATCGCAGTGTGCGGTCAACCTCAGCAGCTGCTGCAGGTGCTGCAGCAGACTCTGCCGCCGCCCGTCTTCCAGATGCTGCTCACCAAACTGCCCAGCATCAGCCAGGTAACCTTGTCCCCCGATCCTTTATTTAGATCCACATCAGCTCCCTAACTGGTCCAGGATCAGCCTGGTTGTCCTGATTTCCCCCGTAACTGCTCCAGGATCAGTCAAGTAGCCCCTCCCCCCACACCTCTCTAAGTAGTCCAGAATCAGCTGTGTAGCCTCCCCATCTCCCTATCTGGTCTAAGGTGATCCAGGTAGCCACCATCTTCACCCTGGTTGGTTACTCCCACCATTCACTCTGTCATGTGTTCATTATCTGAGCTCTGAGTGTTTGTCTTCTGCTCCTGCAGCGGATCGTGAACGCACAGAGTCTGAGCGAGGACGATATAGAATGAGAGGGTCGACAGGAAATAACCCCATCCTCCTCCCCCTCTTCATCATCCCCCCTCTTCCTCTCTACGACCTGCCAACACCTCGGCCTCCATCACTCCGGCCGACGTCCATCACTTCCCATCAAGGCGTCCTGAAGGGAATCAGTTTTCTATCCCTGCTTCAGCCAGTGTTTGTTTCTAACTGAAATTACCCGTTCTGGGGTATTAAGGGTCTCTCGAGAAACACAAGCGCCCGTCCCTGTTCCCCCGCCATCAGCTTTGTACTAATTGACCGGACCGGTGGTTGTTGACGACGTGAATCGGCTTCTTCCGCTCCAGGTTTCCACCGTGTCCGAACCGTCTTCGTGGTCGTTATATCACAATAGGAAGTTAGAGGAAGCTTCTGTCGGCGCCGACGCTTCACAGTATTTATTGTTTTGTTATCAGTCGTCTTTCTGTTTCGCTCTTGACCTGGAAACACTTTCGGAAAGTGATGAAATGTTCTGTTCGTCTTAAAGAGGACGGCCCTCTTTAGGACAAAATAAATAAATAAGAATGTGAAGAAAGTACGAGGTTGTCTTTTGAGTTTATTTTACTTGTAGTCTGGGGCTGGATCAACAGGTACGGTGAAAACCTGCTGGACAGCAACTAAGTATATTTATTCAAATATTATTTTGAGGTACTTGACTTGAGTATTTTCTTCTTCTACTCCACCACATCTCAGATATTGTAATTTTTAACTTCACTATCTGAAAGCTTCAGTTACTTTACAAATTAAAATGTTTACACACAAACACATGAAGAGTTTATAAACTACGGTCTTTTGTTATAATATACAGTACAGCTGAAACGAAACTATTGATGGTTTAAGTCGTTTTTCATGTAAAAACATTTCATGGCTCAAGCTTTGCTGCTTTAATTTATTTTAATGTTGAGCTTTGTGCTGTTGGTTAGACAAAGCGAGCACTATCAAGGCGTCACTTTGGGCTCTGGGTAACTGACAGCATTTCTCAACAACTACTGTAAAATCCTGCTTTTACATTTATACAAAATAATGCATGCATGTAATAATAATCTAACATAGCAAATTGGTCACACTTTACAGCATTGAGGACTTTTAATACCTTAAGTACATTTACCTTACAAACATTTACTTATCTAGCCATATTTACAATGCAGTATTTTTACACGGTGGTATTGGTACTAAAGGATCTGAATACTTCGCCCAACACTGTGACTTTGAGCCAAGCAACACTTTGTACCAGAGGCGGGAGCAAGTCACAAGTGTGTCGTGCCAACGACAATTGTCTTCCTCTCACCGGTCTCCACAGTGGGGCCCCCGAGGCTTGGTGCTAGGGCCCCTTCTCTTCTCAATTTACACCATGTCACTGGAGCCGACGATTTGCAGCTCTACCTATCCTTTCCGCCAGGCGATCCCACCGTCTCGGATCACGGACTGTCTCTCGGACATATCTGCATGGATGAAGGCTCGCCACCTTCAAATAAACCTCTCTAAGACTGAACTCTTGGTCATTCCAGCCAAGCAATCTATCCACCATAACATCACACTACAAATTGACTCCTCAACCATCACTCCAACCAAGGTGGTGAGAAACTTGGGTGTCATGATTGATGACCAGCTGTCCTTCTCAGACCATGTTGCTGCTGTCTCTCTGTCATGCCGCTTTGCTTTATACAACATAAGGAAAATGAGGCCCTACCTCACTCAGTACGCCACCCAGCTTCTGGTAGGTTGGTTCAAGTCAAAAGGCTGAAGTCCAAGTGAAGTCACGAGCCATTGGTGTTAAAATCAAAGTCAAAGTCTTTTTTTGATTTTAAGTCTAAAGTCATCATATTTGTGACTTGAGTCAAAGTTACGTGCCAGTTTTTCCAGGCGGCGCAATCATTTTGATCAGAACTTAAGCAAAGATTATACTTTGAGTACGAGAGGGGCCATGTGAGGGAAAAAACCATCAGGTCATCAGAGTGGGTACGCGTAGGCTCTGCGCAGACGTCCCTGTGCCTCCCGTTTTTCATGACTGCGCTGACCGTCTTCACCACCAGCGCACCAACCAATCTACTGCCCATGTGTCCGCCAAGCTGACTCCACAAATAGTCGACGTCCGCTCCAGAGTATAGTCGAGGTGTTAGATGTTGGTGTCAGTGTCAATACAGGTTTACTATAACTGATGTGATGACATTTTGGGTGAGGTGTGTGTATTTGCTGCCTTGCAGAGTGATACCGCGTCTGGATGGTGAATATGAAGGGGCAGCCAGGAAACAGTTAGCTTAGCTTAGTATGAAGGCTAAGCAGGTAAAACTGCTCACCTGGCTCTGTCTGAAGTTTAAAAACACACCTGCCAACACCTCTACAGCTGAGCAACACAAACGGAGCTGATCACTCAGCACCAGGTTTTATGTCAATCTACTGAGAGACATGACCCCAACACATGAATTTGGTTCAAATGTGTTGATTTGCATTCAGACAGATTATACAAAATGACTTAGATGATGTGATTTCCCAACACTACCATCTTCATAGAATAAATTCTGACAGCATTAAAGATAAGGTTTTATTTGGACACAACAACAGGAGACGACATTACAAAAGTTAAACTTGATCAGCTGGGTTACAGAGATTAATCTTGGTCAGTTTGTAGAACTTTTGTTCCCCTTCTGTATTAGAGAAGTTAAAACTGACTTGACAATGTCCGGAGAGTAAAACTAAGAACCTCCTTTTAAGATCTGGAACATGGGCCGATGTTCTTCACGTTCTAGATAACTGGAAGAATCCTCAGTGCAAAAGCTGGATCACTGCGGATCACAAAGAGTCCTGGAGCCCTTTTTATTTGGATCAGAGACGTCAGATGTGAACCTTCTTCTTCGGCTTCACTTTCTTCTTCAGTCCTTTCTTCTTCGCCTTCTTGGTCGGATCCACCATCTCGCCTGTGAAGGACGTTGAGCTTTTGCTCGACCTCTGCTGGTTTCCAGAGAATTTCTGTTGAGACTTGAAACCTCCCCGACCGCCTCCTCTCTCCCGCCCCTGGCCCCTCATTGGGCCCTTCATGGGGCCCCTGCCGGTCCTCCCTGCGCTGTCAGTTTTTGTCTTCTGCTTCTCCTTCTTCACCGACCTCTTCACCCGGATGGACCTGCCCTCCAGTTTGGAGCCGTCCAGTTTCAGAGCCAGCTGCACCGAGTCGGCGCTCTGCGACAAGAAGACAAACCACCACAAACCGTTTAGAATTCATCTCCACCCTTCAAATAAAAACCACGTACAAAAGGTCAGTCAGAAAACATTCTTTACGCACTCACCATACAGATACCTAACTGACAAGTCTACACGCCATATGGACATTTCTTATATTCATAGACAGATGTTTCTAGTTCCTGTCTCATATGGACGCATGGTCAAGACCCGTCGGCTTCAGTTTCAAACACTGGGATCGCTGTAGCGCCATGCATTTGCATTTCTTTATTTAGCTATTTAGCTGTACATGTCAGAGGTCGCACGGGTTTGGGGTTAAGTGTCTTGCTCAGGGACACATTGGTGTTTCACAGTGGATTTGAACCCGGGTCTCTCACATCAAAGACATGTGTCTTATCCACTCCCCCATCACCTCCCACCATAGATCAACGCACTGGGAAACGCCCTTAGAGTCACTTTTGAACGCTAAAGGTAGGTGTAGGATATTTAACAGGGAAGTCTGAGTAAGGAGGCGGTTAAGTTACTAAGTTGCGTTACTTAACTTAGTGAAGTTTACTGACATATGTAGTTATTTTAACCCAAACCATGCTCTTCCCCTAAACTTAACCAAATAGCTTTGTTTTACAATGATAACAAATAACATTTGTTTTGAAAGTCTAACCGAATGTTGCATACTTGACCATGGAGCCCTAAAAACACGCCAACCGGTCTTGACCAAGCGTCTATACGCGATGAGTCGGGAGTGTGATTATATAACCTGCATGGTTTTAATATCATGTGACTTGGTGACGTAAGTCAGCGCTGCCAGGGTGATCCAGCAGTGTCAGCTCGTTAGCGTGCCAAATGGAAACGTGACTGTCTCTGGTTTGGGCGTGATAATCTGGAGGTCAGAGGTCAAGGTGAAGAGGTGCGCAGCGTTTGAAGTCGTCCTACCTCAAACAGGACATAGCCGAATCCTTTTCCCAGTCCAGAGTTCTGGTCTCGCACCAGTCGTACAGCCTCCACTGCGCCACATTCCTCAAAATGGCGGCGAAAAGCCAGTTCATTTATCTCTAAACACACAGAGGGTTAACGTCAGCACACAGCGACAAACACTCACAGTCCGTCATCAGCGTTAAGACTGCGGCTCACCGAAGGAGAGGTTCCCCACGAAGACGGAGCGCTTGTGATCGTGCTGCAAGACAAGAACCAGGTCCCCACATGAATATTACACAACTCTTTTCAGCAGATTTAAAATACCGATCACCGTGACCATGCTTACCGATGAGTTGTCCGTCACTCTGTCCACCCGGATGTGAAAGTCTCTCTCGATCTCCATGCCGTTCCTGTCAGGAGGGACAAACAGAAGCTTGTTGGTGGTTAGATAAACACGACGGCGTGTTCATGGACATCGGTGAACGAGCGGCTGACCTCTCTAACGCCCTGGCCACTCCTTCCTCGTCTTTAAACACCACATAGGCGTTCATGCTCTGCTTTTTGGGATGAACTTTGCGTCTGTGAAGCAAAAAAACAAAAGCTTGTTTAAGTAAAGAGAAGATCAGAGTTGAAGTTTTGGAAATGTTGGACTGGAAACTTACTGTATCGCTGCGACTTTGCGCGACATGGCGGGATCCTCTCTGACCTGCAGGGAGCAAACACATCACGTGACCGTTAGATGAGCTGATGAGGACAGGACGCAGTTACAAAACTCTGAATGCATTTAAGTGAATGAGAAAACCTGCAAAACCTTTTTCAGCATGTCAGAGTCCATGAAGTAAATACGTGCAATAAAATGCAGGAAACAAGAAAGGTGTAGTAGCCTGTACTGGACTCAAGGTTTGCACCGCCCCAACGCTTTAACGTTTTAAATCACTGTTAAAAACGCATTTCCTTCGAGTTAAGTTTGTTATTATTCCTTATTTTATTGCTGTACTTTTACTCTGTGAGTAGTGTGTTGTTGTTGTATTTAACCTGTGAAGCACCTTGGCCAACCTTGGTTGTTTTAAGTGTGCTATATAAATAAAATTGATATTGCAATGTTCTTACAGACAACATTTAAACTGCCACACTTCACAGGAAACCAACAGTCAACAAACCAGAACACCACTTGTTTTGTTGTCCTTCAAGTGAATGTGCTATACATGTCAGAGGTCGCACGCCTCTGGAGGAACTAGGGGTTAAGTGTCTAACTCTAAACATTCATAAAACAGCTACTTTGCATCATTTGTCACCATTGATGAACCCCACAAAGAATGTCTCAGTTTTAAACAGTACTTGGAGGTGCATGCAGTTCAACACCAGACCTTCTGTTGTTCAAGTCAGCTGTTTTCCACGTTCTTTCCACAGCTGGAAGTTTTGTTTTTATTGTGTCACAGTCTAAGATGC